ACAAACATAGATATATTGATTCACCAAAGAACAGATATGATGTATGATGTACACCAAAATGTTAACGAAAGTTTTCAGGGTGAAGTCATTGTCTTTTAAACACTGTTTGTTATGCTTTTCTTCACTTCTCAATTTTGTAAATGAATATATATCGCTTTTACATTCAGAACAAATGTAATTTGAAATCCTGTTTCAAGGGATAGGAGTTCGTGGTGGCCAGAGTGTGGGGGGACAGCTCACGTACCCTGCCCAGGGTGGGGTAAATGAGCACACACTTCCTGAGGGTAATTTGGCGAAACACATTAAAGCCTTTCAAGTGTTCACACATTTGACCAGTCCTTCTTCTTAGAATCTCTCCAAAGGAAATAACCAGAGATGCCAAGATACCTGTACAGGATGTTTATCACAGAGTTATCTGTGGTATGACATTTTGAATACAATAATATACTCCCTGACAAGAGGGAACAGGTTGAATAAAAGACAATGCAGCCATCTGATGTATTTTATGCAGGGTCAGTATATGTTGGAACTCTTAATAGCATAAGAAAATGTCTGAGCTGTATTGAATTTTAAAAGCAAGATTAAAATCTATATATAGTCTGATCATAAATCTGTTCAAAAAAATCTCTAAGTCTGGGGGGCGCCTGGCTGGCTCAGTCAGAGGAGCATGCAACTCTTGACCTTAGGGTTGAAAGTGTGAGTCCCATGTTTTGGGTGTAGAGACTACTTAAAAATAAAATCTTTATAAAAAGAAATGTAAGTCTGTATGTGCACACACATGCATAGCATCACCTAGAGAGAAGACTGGAAGAGTGTGTGTGTGCACAATTAACAGTAGTTTGTTGAGTGGAGGGATTTTTATTGCCTTCTGTACACCGTTCTGAATTTCCCAAATATTCTACAAAAAGTAGGCATTACTTCTATAATCAGAAAATGAACAACTTTTTTTTAAAGAGAAAAGAAAGTTCCCTCTTCACAAAATGGAGGATGGAGTATGGGGGAAGCAGGTGGACTCGTAGGAGCCAGCTAGGAGCTCCTGCATTAGACGTGGGTTTGAAGAGCAGGGGAAAGGTTCAAGATACCGGGGAGGCAGAAAGGTCAGGATTTGCTGACTGACTGGATGCCAGGAGGGAGTCAGGTATGAGTCTCAGGTGCGTGGATTACGATAAGGAATACAGGCTACGGTAGCCAGCTTCTGACGGGCTCCAGCGCCCTTTGCCTCCTGATCCACCCTGTACCGTCCCTCCCACCCTGAAAAGAGCAGACCTGTGTCACCACCGGATAGAGCACAAATGACAAGGTGTGCTTTGTGAAGCCGGGGCATAAAAGAGATTGACAGAAAGTAGGATAGAAGTTCCTCGGAGTTCTGGGGAGGTGAGGGCAGGGGAGACTGTGGGAGGATGAAGTCCTAAGGATGGATGGTGGTGATGGTTATACAACAATGTGCATGCCCTTAATACCACTGAACCGTACGGTTAAAAACGGTTAAAATGGTAAGTTTTATGTTGTGTATATTTTACCATGATAAAATTTTTTTAATATAAAAAAGGTAGGGCTCTGCCTTGTCTCTCACGCCAGTGCCCTGGGGGAAGCCAGCCACCACGTGGTGAGCACACTGAGAAGGCCCTGCCAGAGGCGGGGGTGTGGGGGAACCCAGGCCTGCGGCCATCAGCACCATGAGCACACCAGGTATGTGCACGAGCCCCTCAGAAAGCGGATCCTCCAGCCCCGTCAGCTGAAGACAGAAACCATATAATACTGATTGTTTTAACATTTGGAGGCATTTGTTATCCAGCAATAGAAGGAGGCACAGATTTGAGCCATCTGGTACTCTTTGGCGTTTCGTACCACCATCTCGTTTCTCCAGCTTCCGATGAGGATGTGGAAGGCTGGAAAGACCCACATTGCCAGCATTACAACAAACACTAGGTAACGCGCAGAATCGCAGGCTCCGGCGCAGCGGCGAGCAGGGCTTGCGGCGGGCTCCGCACCGGGCCCACCAGGGGGCGCCAGAGAGACCGGAAGGCAGGAGGTTCCGGAGCACATCCGCCCAGCCCCGGAACCGAGGGCTCGGCTTCCTGCGGTAACCACGTCAGGGCTTCCCACAGGCCTCCGTTTTTGCCTCTCTTCCTCCAGTAATACCTGTTTCACCAGTTCCCTAAATTAAATCCTCTGTGCTCAAATCCCCACGTGGTTTCTGTTTTCCTGACTGGCCCTCAGCGGATACAGCACGTGGACCAGAGCCCGCTCAGTTACTGTACCAGCACCAGCTTGTCTGGTGGGGGCACAGGTGTAAGCAAGGGGGTTCCCACCTGCCCGGGCGAACCATCACCCCGACGGCCCTTCCCGGCTCCTCGCCGGCCAACCTCCGCGCACCCACCCGAGCTTCGGCTCACACGCGTGCTCCCCCAGCTCGGTACTTTCCCTGGTCTCTCCCTGCCTTTTGAGCCCAACTCGCCTAAAATTGGACAGTAAGAAAATGGGACACCTCAGCATGTGAGGAAGCAAGTGCAGAGGAGGAAGGAATTTGTTTTTTCTTTGTTGTTGTTTGTTTCTTTTATACCTTGGGAGAGACAGTAAGAGAAAAGGATTTCTTTTCTTAAGATTTTATTTATTTATTTGACAGAGAGAGACAGGGAGAGCAGGAACACAAGCAGGGGGAGTGGGAGAGGGAGAAGCAGGCTTCCCGCTGAGCGGGGAGCCCGATGTGGGACTCGATCCCAGGACCCTGGGATCGTGACCTAAGCCGAAGGCAGACGCTTAACGACTGAGCCACCCAGGCGCCCAAGAGAAAGGGATTTCTTCTCAGGCTGACTTTCATTGTCAACTTTTTTTTTTTTCTTGATCTTTTCATTCTGGTGGAAAGTCACTGGACAAAAAAGAGAAACCCAGGAGTTCAGGTTCATTCCTATCCTACACCTTTTCTTAAGTCAGGTGGCCAGCCTAACTGCTTCTGTTCACTTTTATTCACCAGAAGAGCGCCAGAAAGATGATGAGAAGGTAAGGAACACGCGCACGTGAGTGCACACACACGTGTGCAACACATGCATGCCACACACCTGTGTTCTGGCCTGCAAGTTCATTTCCCCCATTGAAATAATAGTACTAAAACTTTCAACAGTGTACGAAAAAGTTTCCAGGAGAGGTCTTCATGGACTTGTTTTGAGAAATTACAGAAATTTCACTCCCCAGGCTTACTGTTTATGAAGTAGGACCTGAGTGAAAAAAATGAGAATCTACCACCTGAAGAAGACCCCAGCCCCCTAACAAAAAGTTGTTGTTTTTTTTTTTAATTTTAAGTACAATCTACTCCCCACTGTGGGGCTTGAACTCACAACCCCATGATCAAGAGCCACATGTCTACTAACCAAGCCAGCCAGGTACCCCAACAAAAAAGTATTTTAAAGACACAAAGCAATAAAACTTAGACCTCGTGCTGCCATGCTTGTCTAGATTATGCCCTAAATGGGGACGACAGCCCCAGGGAGGCAAAAAGGGTGGTTAGTGGATAAGACCAATTTTAGTGTGCTCCAAAAGGTATCAGTACAGAAACAGAAATACACCTGGGGTAGTAAGTTTTCATGGACGGGTAGTATTTAGGAAAAAGTGTTAGCAAGGCTGCTTGGGACAGGAGAGTGGGCTGTAAGGAAAAGTGTTTGAGAAGCACTGTCCTGGGTGAGACGACACGCACTTGCTCACCATTTGCTCGAACATACCCCTTAGCATTGTATTTCCTTCCAGGTTTGTAAGAAACTCTGCAGAAACATAATCTTTGCTTGAGTAAGAAGAGTCTGGAATATAATCCAGGAGAGAAGGTAATGCCAACTGATCATCAAACTCAGCTAACAGTGCCTTTTATAAAAGCTTCAGTGTCAGTGCTCCAACACATGGCTTCCTTTCCTTGCCAACACATTTTGGGTTGTGGCTAAATAGCTTCTTTCTTTATCTCAAACGGTCACTTTTTCCAGAAGAAAGAAGGGTTTCAAGCCACCCTGTTCCCTCTAGGTCAGGCTAGGTTCCTTGTGTGCAGTCCCCACTGACCCACATCACAGAGGATGTGTGTTACCACTGTGGACGAGCACAAGTCACAGAGCATGCGGGCTCCACTTGATTCTGATGACACCTGTGTGTGCCTTTGTCTGGTAAGCCATTCTCTTGTCTGTGCAGCTCACATCCTGACGTGGCATTGCTGTTACCAGCGCAGAATTAGTTCTCCCCATGGCTTCTGGGCCCCAGCTACCAATTACACCATTACATCAGCTTCGCAAATACTTTGTAAGATATTCCAGGTGCCCAGACCATATGCACACTTGCACTCAGAGACTCACGACGTGCGCTCACTTCCTAATCATCAACCTCTGCCAAATTCTAATACCATCCACTACCCAGGGCCTTCAGCTATTCCATCACTTTGTTCAAGTATCGTGAACAAGGTTTTGTGCTCGGTGCCATAAGGGGCTAACAAGATTTGAAAAGCACAGTTGCTGCATATGGAGAGAAAGAGAAGCATGCAAATAATACAGCATAAGGCACTTTCCCCAATTATGGAAGGGATGGACAAACCACAGCTGCTGGAGTCTCAGAGGAGGGACTTCCTCCCACAAGCAGGAAGTTGGGGAGACTCCAGGGAGAGCTGGGGTACTGAGGGGAACACCGCAATGAAAGATGCTGAGCAGCATGGGCCAAAGGGTAAGCGCAGAAAGCACAACCAAACAGAACAGGAGCTCAGAAGGGCAAGGCCTATCTACCATGACCTGTAAAGTGTTTGTTTGTTTGTGTTGAGCAGGCTCCATGCCTAGCGCAGAGCCCGACATGGGGCTTGAACTCACGACCCTGAGATCAAGACCTGAGCTGAAATCAAGAGTCGGATGCTTAACCCACTGAGCCACCCAGGTGCCCCTGGCCTGTAAAGTTTTTTATAGTCAAAAAGTCTTAACACCAAATATTTTAAAACTGGGAGTACATCATTTTACCTTCGAAAAAAACTTAAGAGCATTTACCTTCAGTTGGAAATTTCTTGGCTCGTTCCTCAAAGAACCATTCTCCAGTTTTTATTTTCACATTTCTGAAAAACAAACAGAAAGGAAGCCTCAGACAGAGATGTGGATGGTGCTATATTTGGCTCACGAGAGGTATGTAGATATCATCACATAAGATTCGTCTTGCAAGGGTCCTCCAAGTTCAAATTTCTGGCCCCAAACCCTACTTTACAGATCTCCTATAGAGATCCTCTGCGTGAGGATCATTGGCATAAATGCCAAGCACATGGTGCAGAGCCAGCTCTAACTACTGGAGGTCCCGCTGTCCGTTCTCCATAGCCTTGAACTCTGCTCATGCTGTCCTTTTATCAGCAAACAAGAAATGACTGTTGAAAAGCACTTTGCAAATCCCAGCATACAAATGTTGAATGATACAATGAATGGATGACCCGGAACAGAAAGATCTTTTGACCTGTTGCTATCAGAGCAAGCAGGGAGCCAAATAGGCCTGTTGGAATGCAGTTTTACTTTGCATCTAAATTACTTGCATCTGCGGATAGTTAACTGTCCCATCCACGCCTTCCTTATGCTCTTCTAAAAGTCAGCATGATGTCCCTAGAGTTGCTTATTTTATAAATATATATATATATATTTGACAAAGAGAGAGACAGTGAGGGAGGGAACACAAGCAGGGGGAGTGGGAGAGGGAGAAGCAGGCTTCCCGCCGAGCGGGGAGCCCGATGTGGGGCTCCATCCCAGGACCCCGGGACCATGATCTGAGACGAAGGCAGACGCTAACGACTGAGCCACCCAGGCGCCCCAGAGTTGCTTAACGTATTTTCCACCACGTAAGGGACAAGAGGTGAAAATCAGTCTGCAGAGTGAGGATTCTGGGAACGCCTACAGAGACACCTTTCCCCGGGGCAGATCTGCTCTCCAACCAACGTCCTGATGGCCAGAAAGCCTCAGGAGGCCCCTGGTGGCTCATAAGACCAACAAGCTGCAAAAAGTCCCAATGAAGAAGCCGAATATTGTAAAACTGAGACACCCCCCCCCCCCCCAACTGCTCTGTGCTAGCTTATCCACCTGTTGGGTAATTCCCAGCTGAAGTAGTCTTAGGCAAGCATACAGTGGAATTTTATTTTATTTTATTTTTACTTCAAATAATCTCACATCTAAGATGGTTTCTAGTTACAAAGCAAAGCAGTGAGGTTTTTTTCCTGCCAGCTCAGTTGATCCGCTTTCAACATTTTCACAGGAAAAAAATACTGATCATAGTGATTAAATCCTAGGTAACTAGGGGAGGACTCCGAGCATCAAGATGAAGATAAAGAAATGATTGTATCGAGTTGCTGCCTCCCCTCCTTGCAAAACATTAGTAACTCTCCCTCAGCTGACCTCAGAGAGAAGACAGGCCCCCCTGTGTCATACTCAGGGCTGTATTAACAGCCCCAAGCGTGACTGGGACGCATCCCAGGGGCCAGTGAATCCATGTGGGTTGGTGAATGAATAAAAAGCCCCAGTTTTGTGGGGAGCACCTTGAGAACTGTAGGGAGAAGCTGGGATCCTGCTGGGGTACGCACTGAGATCTAATGTGTGTTGGCCCCTCTAAGCACATGGGGTGGGGGGCACGGACTCAGGCACCAGGCAGAGACTGTAAACAAGGGAGGCAAGCTGGGGGCAGACAATAAGGAGGGGTGGGGACTGTGACGAGCAGGAGAACCTGTGGCCCATTTCAAGGCATTAAAATGATATTATACTTCACGCAGTCCCAACACACAAGGCCCAGAGGCTGTCGGCAGCCTGTTGGCCACGCATTTGTGATTCTTGGTTTGTTACATCAGATAACTAGTTGACAAAAGTGAGAAAAATTCCACTGTAGCCAGACAGAGCTGTGCTTGAGGCCTTGACAAAAAATCGGGTTAGATGCTACGCATTGCCCTGTCTTCCTCAGAAATCTGGGAAGGGCCGCCCGCCGCCAAAGGGACCACAGGAAGGGTGAGAAATAAGGACCCCATGCTTGTTGGCAATTCCTCAACCTGAAGAGACAACGGAGAGCCTCTGACAAAATGCCAAAGGCGTCTCGGGATGCACAGCACTGGGGGAACCAGGGAAACTTTCAGAAAGCACTCCGTCCTCAAAAGCACCTAAGACCAGCCTCTAGGAGAAGGAGACAGAAAGACAGAAGGAGAAACCAGGCTGACATGAAGAGACATCAGACTAGAACAAAGACAAATCTAGGAAACTAGGGAAAAGCAGAACAGACGGTCTGCCAACTCGCAGAAGCAGAACGGAGATGCAGGAAAGCTGAATCAGTGAGCTCACCCAGTAGACGGGCTTTTCCTGAACATGAACAGAAAAAATGAAGACATGAGATTCTGGAGAACAGAGCACAAAGTCAACCTACATATTAAAAGTTATTCCCAGGGCGCCTGGGTGGCTCAGTTGTTCAGCGTCTGCCTTCGGCTCAGGTCATGATCCCAGGGTCCTGGGATTGAGCCCCTCATTGGGCTCCCTACTCCGTGGGGAGTCTGCTTCTCCCTCTCCCACTCCCCCTGCGTCTCTCTCTGTCAAATAAATAAATAAATAAAATCTTTAAAAAAAATAAATAACATTTATTCCCTAAGAAGCAAGGGCAAGTGGCATAAAAGATGATCATAGGAATCATACCTAACTGAAAAAAATGTTACTGAGTCAAAAACCAAGCAAACCTTCACCTCACACCCATTAGGGTGGCTACTATCAAAAACAAAACAAAACAAATAACCTGAAAAGAACAAGGGTTGACGAAGATGTGAAGAAATGGGACCCTTGTGTACTCTTGGTGGGATTATTAAATGGTGCAGCTACTATGGGAAACCGTATGAAAAAAATTAAACATATAAGTACCATATGAGCCAGCAATTCCACTTCTGGGTCTATCTCCAAAAGATCTGAAAGTAGGGTCTCTTCTCTTAGAGATGTTTGCACACCTCTGTTCACAGCAGCACCATTCACAATAGCCAAAGGGTAGAATTAACCCAAGTGTCCATCAGCAAACGAATAGACAAACAAAATGTGACATATACACACGATGGAATATGCACCTTGGAATATACAGCCTGAAAAAGGAAGGAAACTTGCAATAAACTACAACACAGAGGAAGCTTGAGGACATTCTGCTAAGTGAAATGAGCCAGTCGTAAAAAGACAAGCACTGTATGATGCTACTTATATGAGCACCTAGAATCCACAAATTCAGAGAAACGGAACATAGAATCCTGGTTTCTACTGGAAGGAAGAAATAGGGCGTTGTTTAATGGGTATGAAGTTTCAGTTCTGTGAGATGGAAAAGTTCCAGAGATGGATGGTGGTGGGATGGTTGCACGAAGATGTGGACAGACTTAATGCCCCTAAACTGTAGGTAGAAAAGAGCTAAGATAGTAAATTTTATATGTATTTTACCACAATTAATATTTTTAAAATTTTTTTAAGATTTATTTATTATTTGAGAGAGAGAGAGGGTGCACAGGGGAGAGGGGCAAAGGGAGAGAGAGAGAAAGTCACAAGCAAACTCCATGCTGAGCGCAGAGCCCCACGTGGGGCCGGATCCCATGACCCTGAGATCATGACCTGAGCCATTAAAGAAGCCGGATGCTTAACCAAATGCACCACCCAGGTGTCCCTAAAAAATGTGTTTTTTTAAACAAGCAAATCCAAGGGATAAGGAGCTCAAAGGAACCTTATTCCATAAAACCAACATAGAGGAGCTCACATCCAGACATGGACCAGAAACTTTTTAATTACAAGGATACAGGGAAGAAAAAAAAAAAGTTTGTAACATATAAAAACCAGATGATCACTAAAGAAATAAAAATAAAAATAGCTTCAGATGTCTCTGTCATATTAAATTCCAAAAGACAATGAGAACACATTTCCTGAACTTTGAGATGAAAAGGTTGGGACCTAAGATTTTAAAACCCAGTGAAGTCATTACTCATGAGGGAAGGCTATGGAGGACAACCTTAAATTTGCAATGACTCAGATCTTCTGCCACCGACATGCTCTTCTGGGGCAAAAAAATCCCTCAAGAGGCCCTTCAGATGATTGAAAAATGAATCAAAATAAAGAACTTGCAAATTGGGAAATTATGGTCTCAAAAGATTAGCAATGAGCGCTTGAATGTGTTAAAACTTAGAGTTGGTTTAATAATTGTAAATATAATCATAAAACTATGCAGGTGACAAAAATAATTATTGAGAGAGATATTATAGGACATAAAAGTAATAACTTATCACAATATAAATATTTCAAAATGATGAAATGAATAACATTTATAAAACATTTCTGTCTCTAGGGGCGCCTGGGTGGCTCAGTCGTTAAGCGTCTGCCTTCAGCTCAGGTCATGATCTAAGGGTCTTGGGATCAAGCCCCACATCAGGCCCCTGCTCAGCGGGGAGTCTGCTTCTCCCTCTCCCACTCCTTCTGCTGGTGTTCCCTCTCTCGCTGTCTCTCTGTCAAAGAATAAATAAAAAAGTCTTAAAAAAAGAAAAAATTTCTGTCTCTACCCTGGGTACCTCATGTAAGTAGGATCATACATTTTTCCTTCTGGCTTATTTCATTTAACATAATATTTGTAAAGTTCATCCATGTTTTAGCATGTATTAAATTTCATTCTTTTGTTGTAGCTGAATAATATTCCATAGCATGTATATATCACATTTTGTGTATCCATTCATCTGTTGATGGACACTGGGTTGTCTCCACCTTGTGACTACTGTGAACAATGCTGCTATGAACACTGGCTTATTATTTGAATATTTGAAAGCTACAAGGTTGCTGTCAAAACCAACATTAAGGGGTGTCTGGGTGGCATAGCCAGTTAAGCATCCAACTCTTGGTTTCGGTTCAGGTCATGATCTCAAGGTCCTGGGATCCAGCCCCAATTTGGGCTCCATGCTCACCACAGAGTCTGCTTGAGATTCTCTGTCCCTCTCCCTCTGCCCCTCCTGCTCATGCTCGCTCTCTCTCTCTAAAATAAATAAATAGGGCGCCTGGGTGGCTCAGTTGGTTAAGTGACTGCCTTAGGCTCAGGTCATGATCCTGG